TTTGTTGTACTTCCCCCTATCAGACGGTATCAGTTTGTTGACATCTTAATCGGTAAACACTTTGGGGTAGTGACTTTTTGTTCTATATGTGTACAGCTGGAAGCATAATGGGCCCGTAGTGGTCTCAGTTGCTATGGTGATAGGGCCAACAACAGTAATAGGTGGCCTTAAGAAAGCATTTCAGCATTTCTGACTGGATATAGGAATGCAAAATGAGTGTGTTAAGTACCACTCTACAAGTTATGGCCTGAAGGTCACAGTTCTGGGGGAACAAAACCATACAAACCACGCAGATAGATTCAGAGCAAAAAAAGACTCACTGGAAAAAATGCTCTCCTAGTCGTGCCAGAAGCTTAGCTAGAGCATTCACAGCCTGGGGAAAACCCCATCAGAGAGCAGGTGGGGGACGTTATTCTTACTTGTCCTGGCTGTTGCTGCCATGACACAGACTCTCTGGGTGGGCAGTGGTGGGGTGCTATTCTGGAGTCTCTTCTCTCCTCCCAGTGGTCTGGTGCCCCACTTCCCCCCCTAGTTGCATGACTCTATTGTACCATTTTCCACTACATGGCCACAGTACTGGTGCTGGCCACCAGAGGGCACCACTGAGCCACCACATTGGTGTATTAAAGCCACCAGCCACAAGGGGGAGCCACTGAGCCAGCACATTTCTGCAGTGCCACCACCAGCTACCAGGGTGCACTGCAAAGACCAAGTCTTATAAGGCAGCTTTTCCCTACCTTTTTTGCCCCATGGCACACTTACCTAAATAAAAAAGCACCATGGCGCACTGGACGTGCAGTGGGGTGGGGATGGTGCACGGCCAGCCAGACACTGACCGGGGTGGGGGGCGCAGCCAGATGGATGCTGATGGGGAGGGCCAGCCAGACGGCATTTTGGACTGGAGCCATGCCCCTTGCCTGGCTGGAGCCACACTCCCCATCTGTCTGTGTCTGCAGCAGCAGCAGGCGGGGGACGTGGCTCCAGCCAGGCAGGAGGCACAGCTCCAGCTCAAAATGCCATGGCACACCTGGATGTGTTTGACGGCACACCAGAGTGCTGTGGCACACCGGTTGGGAAACGCTGCTATAAGGGCAAATTATTAGTAGTAAGTGACTGACCAAGGCGTATCACAGTGAGCCTCCTGCATGGTACGTCTGCCTGCAATAATGATAAACTCTTGGCAACCAAAATTGCTGGCTGCTGTTACTCATCTCCTAGGATGCATTTAGAAGGCACAAGGGAACTGGCCCAAGGGTCCTGACAGAGGCCCAGCTTGGTCAACTACATTTTACTCCTGTGGACCCCCTTGCCGCTTCAGTTACTGCTCCTCCCCATTTCCAGGCATACAGCATTCAGCCAGGCACAACAACACTACATAACTCTTGGGGACACTTCAGACACAGGGAAAGCCATTTCTGTTGGCAAACAAATGGCAGAATTTAATGTCGTAACGTGTTTTGAATCTATTTAGACTAGCGGTCCCATATAAATGCAAGATCGTTGTTAGTCAGCTGTGTGTACATCCACCCTCAATGGAGGAACTGAAGAGAAGGAGAAAAGAGTAGTTCAGTACTACAACAGTATCATTTTCCCTTCCAGACAGAGTGACCTCAGCACTTCCTTTAGCTTCTGAAAACACTGTACCCTTTCTCTGTGGAAGGACTGAGGTCACAAGGAACTGTATTTTTGGTAAATGCTCCTCTCTCAGGGTTTGGGCTTCTAGTCATTAAAAAATATCCTTGTCTGGAGTTTGAAAGCTTTCCCTTTCCCCCACCCATACATTTAACACAACGCAGGCAAAGAAACAGATAGGCAGAAATTAGCCCACATACTGCATCACACCCTATAAAAGGATCTCAAGTGGTGCCTTAAAGTTACATTCATTAGTGTCCAGAAGCATTTTACAAATGGAATAGCTATGAGAGAAGGTTTGTGGGGTTCTTTTGGACAAGACTGCCAAGAAAAGAATAGGATGCCGGACCCCTGACTCCCAGTCTTGTGTATCACCCAAGAAGGCCAGTCCTCACATGGGAAAAGGTTATATTTTTAAAATCCCCCTTTATAAAACCCTAGAGTACGCAGAGTAAGTTGCATTTTAATCCATTGGTAGCTGGCAGCAGAGCTGGCCTCAAGGGTGGGCAACCACCTATGGTACCATAGTCAGCGGGGTGCCAAACATCCCATTGCCCTGCACAACCTCAGCCGATCCCTGTTACACATACAAGTCCATGGGGCTGGATGGGATGCCCTGCCCAGCCTAGCCCAGCAGCTGAGCACCACTGCCCTCCACCCCGTTGGGCTCCCCTCATGCATTCCTGGCTCAGCCATGCGGTGCAGCATCCTGCCCCCCAAGATCCTGGCATAGCATAGGGAGGGGCAAGCGGAGGGACGCAGGGGGCAGACTAGGTCAGCCCTGCCACCTCCTGATTGACTCTCAACTTTCCCTGTCCCTTCCAGGCTGCCGGCACTGCTCTGCTCTGTGTGCCCGCCGCAGCCCAGCCTGCCCCATGCCCTCAAAAGCACAGAGCAGATAAGTACCCTGCTCCATTCCAACACCCCGTGGATTGCTCCCTACCCACACAGGCCCAGTTCCAGCCCCATGCCAGGCTCAGGTGGCAGCAGGATGCATCCCTGCCCTGCCATGGCAGCCCCCTGGGTGAAGCCTGCCCTGGCAGCCCACTGCAGGGCAATGCAGAGCAGGGGCAGCACCAGCTGCCCACAGCTTGGGAGCTGGTGTCCCTGAGGCAGCTGCTCAGGAAGAGCCAGGCTAGGCAGTGCAGGTAGGGTGGTGCCTGCTTCAGTCCTGTGCCCCTGCCTGCAGCATCACCACTGAGGTGCAGGGGAAAGAGGGTGCCTGGGGGAGAGGGCAAAATACTAGTTTGCCCAAGTTGCCATTTTCCCTAAGGTGAGCTCTGGCTGGCAGGAGTCAAGTCTTAGGGGAAGCTTCAAATTTACCTCATTCAGCTAACAAGTACTCCAACCAAAACCACTTGCCTGGCCAATGTATTTAATATTTAGCTAATGTATTAAAAACATTGGGTGCCTGTAGACATGTGGAAATGCTGCTCTGACACGCTCATGTATTCAGTGCTGCTAACTAGCATAACCCAACAGGCTCTGCGTCTCGTGTATTCAGCGTCCCTGTGCTACAAAATGGTGGCTAGGGCACTTCACTTATTGAGCGAGCTTTAGTTAAATTGCCTCCACCACCATTTTGAAGTGCAGGACACTGAATACGAGATGCTGCGGGCACTTTAATTAGAGCGGCTCTTAGAGCCGTTCCAATTAAAGCGCCCCCCTCCACATCCCCCCAGAGCACGTGTAAAGACACCTACCAAGTAGTAGTGTTTCAGTAGTTACAAACATTATTAGGCAGTCACAACCAAAAACATCCTTCCCCCTCAATTCAATCCAGGCCAGTGTAGATTAGTAAAAATGTGAAATCTGCTAACTAACACGATGTTTAAAGAAAGAGCTTGCAAGTAGATGAGACAAAAAAAACTGTGTTCAGAAAGGCATTAGCTTTTTGTGGCCAGCAGAGGGGGAAATATAGAGCTGACCATGACCAGTTGCCACAGGTTATAAATAAGATTTGTCCTGTGTACACTGGCTGCTAAACTGGATTTAAAATCATGTTGGCTAATGTGTTTTGAAACATGACATGACTTTCCAGGCTATCCCAGTCCTGAGGGGGTGGGTGGAATACCACTGAGGCACTAGAAATGTCCATTTTTGCCAAGATCTGAAGCCTCAAAGCAAAAGGACAAAAAATAGCTGTCCACAAATATAACCCTGTCAGGGCATATTGCTTAGCCTTAGATGATACATTTAGTATTCTAGGAAAATCAGCTTTAGCTAAAGGAAGCTTGAAATGCTGCATATTTCAGGTTGCACATGCAAAGAGAAGGCTTCTGTTGTGTCATGCTCAGTCCAAGTAGAAAAGGAAAATTTATAAGGTGGCATTCCTTGCACACCTCCCTACACATAGACATAGGAATGTAAAACTGGAAAGGACTACCTTGTCACTGAGTCCAGGTACCTATGATGGCTGAGAGCCGTGTCACAGCCATTTATCCAAAAGGGTCCAAAAGAACATGGCCTCTGGTCCCTCCATCACACTGCAGTAGCAAATGCATCTTATACCAAATTTATCTTTAGCACAAAAAATTCCAAGGCCTCAAAAATGACAGCATGCCACAGGAAGAAAACAAGTTAGAACTACACCATTTCAGACTGGGTTGGAGAGCCACATATTCTATCACAACGCCTTGTCGATCTAAATGTTAGAACTAGTTTTCTCAACCAATAAAGAGGCTTGCACTGTTTAAATGCATCTCTGCCCTTATGAATTCAGCTAACCCTCAGCACCTTGCAGGGGATGGGCTAGACCAGGCGTGGGCAAAATGCGGCCTGCGGGCCAGATGTGGCCCACCAAGCCATTCTATCTGGCCTGCGAGGCCCCTAAAAAATTTACAAAATTAATATTTACCTGCCCTGGGCTGCCTGTCATGCGGCCCTCGATGGCTTGCTAAAACTCAGTAAGTGGCCCTCCACCCAAAATAATTGCCTGCCCCTGGGCTAGAGTTGGCTGAAGGATTCAAACTGACGCAAAGGCTTGGGGGTGTTTCCAGATGGGCTTTGGGTGCTGCCCTGACTCCAGGGTATCATTTCTCTGGATGTGTGTCAGAGTATGAAACGCCCTCAGCCAATCTTAACCCTGAAAACTCCCTATTTTTCTCCAAGCTCTGTGTGCCTTGACTCCCCTACTTTTGTTAGAAACAGGAAAGGCAGCTCTGCCTAGCTTGAGGATGAGTGTAAGGGACTCAGGGGAAAAATTAGTACAGTCAGTGGTGTAGACCCTGGGGGAAGAAAGCCAGCAACAGTGAGACAGAAAGATTAGTTTAGTTGTTGTGAGGGCAGGTGACACCTCACTCAGGCAGACGTCTATAACCCACTTAAATGCACTAGAAAACAGATATTTTGGGAAGAAACAACCGTACCTTCATAGGGATGTGTGATGCCATTGGTGCTGGGCACTACAGAAAAAGACAGACAAGATGGAGTGATTTAGCAACTGGAAAAGGGGAAAGAAAAGAATTAGCAGCAAAGAAGTGGAATATGGCCAGACCCCAGTACCAGAAACCACTGGGTGGTTATCAGGGAACTCTTCAATAAGCTAAAAATCACAAAAAGGAAGCTTAAAAGAGGAGGAAACTTGGACAAACAACTAGGGAGGAGTATAAGGGTATTACTCAGGCATGCACGGATGAAGTCAGGAAGGCCAAAGTGCAATTAGAGTTGCAGCTAGCAATGGACATGGGTACAAAGGAAGGTTTCTACAAGTACACCAGTAACCAGAGGAGGATCAGGGAAAGTGTGGGTCCCTTACTGAATAGGGAAGGCAACTTTGTGACAGAGGATGCAGAAAAGGCTTAAGTGCTCAATGCCTTCTTCGCCTCTGTCTTCACAGGCCAGGTCAGCTCCTAGACTACTGAACCTGGCAGCACAGTTTTGGGAGAAGGGGAGCAGCCAACTGTAGCAAAAGAACAGGTTGGGACTATTTAGAAAAGCTAGATATATACAAGTCCATGGGGCTGGATGGGATGCACTCAAGGATGCTGAGGGAGTTGGCCATTGTGACTTCAGAGCCATTCGCCATCATCTTTGAAAACTCATGGTGATCAGGAGAGGTCCTGGACGATTGGAAAAAGGCAAATATGGTGCCTATATTTAAGAAAGGGAAAAAGGAAGATCTAGGAAACTGCAGACCAGTCAGCCTCACCTCAGTTGCTGAAAAAATCATGGGAAAAGGTTCTCAAGGAAACCTTTCTAAGTACTTAGAGGAGATGAAAGTGATCAAGAACAGTCAGCATGGATTCACCAAGGGTAAATGATTCCTCACCAACCTGATTGCCTTCTATGATGAGATGACTGGCTCTGTAGATGCAGGTATACCTTGACTTTAGCAAGGCTTTTGATACGGTATCCCACAACATTCTTGCAGGCAAGCTAAGGAAGTACGGGTGGACCAATGGAGGACAGAGAACTGGCTGGATCATCAGGCTCAGAGGGTAGTAGTCAATGGCTCAATGTCTAGTTGGTAGCCGGTATCAAGTACAGTACACCAGGGGTTGGTCCTGGGGCTGGTTTTATTCAGTATCTTCATCAATGACCTGGAAGATGGTACAGAGCTCACCCTCAGCAAGTTTGCAGATGACACCAAATTGTGGGGCGTAGTGAATACACTGGAGGATAGGGTTAGTATTCAGAGAGAGCTAGACAAATTGGGGGACTGGACCAAAAGAAATCTCATGAAGTTCAATAAGGACAAGTGCAAAGTCCTGTACTTAGGTGGGAACAATCCCATGCGGCTGGGTGCTGACTGGCTGGGCAGCAGCTCTGCAGAAAAGGACCTGGGGGTTACAGTGGACAATAAGCTGCATATGAGTCAACAGCGTGCCCTTGTTGTCAAGAAGGTTAATGGCATACTGGGCTGCATTGGTAGATATCTTGCCAGCAGATCAAGGGAAATAATTATTACCCTCTATTCTGCACTGGTGAGGCCACATGTGGAATACTGTGTCCAGGTTTGGGGCTCCCACTACAGAAAGGATGTGGACAAATTGGAGAGTCCAGTAGAGGGCAACAAAAATGGTTAGGGGGCTGGGGGTCATGATTTATGAGGAAAGACTGAGGGAACTGGGCTTATTTAGTCTGCAGAAGAGAAGACTGAGTGGAGATTTAACAGCAGCCTTTAACTACCTGAAGTGGGATTTGAAAGGAGATGGAGCTAGGCTGTTCTCAGTGGTGACCGATGACAGAACAAGGAGCGATGGTCTCAAGTTGCAGCAGGGGAGGTTTAGGTTAGATATTAGGAAGAACATGCTTACTAGTGTCACAACCCAGTGATTTTGGTGCCTCAGCACAATGGAATTTTCCCGCCACTTGAGAGTCTCTTGCACAGCAAAGGTTTTTGTTGTAACAGAAAAACCCCGGTGCAAGAGAGTTCCCGGCATTTCATATGCAAATTTGTGTCCCACTATTGGCTAGTTCTAAATTATTCCTACGTGGCGGTTAGTAATTGGCTTGCTGGCCGTTTAAAATTTTGTGCAACTTCCGCCCAAGTCGGAGAACTTTGAGCACGCTGCAGAGTACTAAAGATATCTGACTTGCGGCTGAGCTGATCAATAGGCTGATCGCCTATCGATTCTTCTTCCCGTCGCCGAGCGCAATCCTCGACGTACCCTTTCCCTGACGGCTTAATACGGATTCGCTGGCCTGAGCCTTGCCAGCTGGAGCAACTCACATAGTTGTTTAAGCGATCGGACCACCTGCGTCGTGGCTACAAGCGGCGTAAGTAAAGTTTTTGCAACCACTAAGCTTTGTCCGTCTCTCCATTCACCAGCCCGCACAACAAACGAATAGTTTCTAAATCACCTTGAGTCGGCTTCAGCCGGCCGAGACAACTAGAAGGGAAGTAAAACACTGCAACAGGTTACCCAGAGAGGTGGTGAAATCTCTGTCCTTGGAGGTTTTTAAGACCCAGCTAGACAAAGCCTTGGCTGAGATGTAGTTGGGGATGGTCCTGCTTTGAGCAGGGAGTTGGACTAGATGGCCTCCTGAGGTCCCTTCCAGCCCTCATTTTCTATGATTCTATGAAGAAGGAAGAAGTTACCCCACCATCATCCCTCACTGTAGGTAACATGTTTCATCCCAGTGTTTCTCAGGAGGCAAAGTGTAATAACTGTCATTACCTTATCATGGAATTACTGGTATTGATGTCTGTTAAATCTAGTCCAATAACTATGCCACACAGGATTTTGTGCTCCTAAGAGGGTTCTGGCCTGACAGGTTTTGAGCCTCTTTCCAGGGGACAAGTACAGATGAGCAACAGCACCAGTTTTCTCCCACTCTGCCCTTGGCAGTATGCCTCAGCCATGACTTGGATGAATTGGTCCTAGGATGGGAACAGGAATGATGTCTCCCGCACTCATTCAGTCTTCAATCTCACCAATGAGACTGTCAGCAAACCTCCAGGAAGATTTGCCACACGGGGACACCAGGTCATTTGGAATTGGCTTGGAGAGACACTGAGTAACTATCACATGGCAAAGGCTTCTAGGCACTACTAAACCACATTAGGCCACACTGAATGCAGAAATTGAAACTCAAAGGGTTCCTATACCAATACAATTCCCCAGAGAGGAAAGGTGGATTCTGGATAATATGCATGAAAGACAGACCTCTAACCAGGGCATCTTACACTGAATCAAGGTGGTAGATGCCTGCTAATATGTGGCACACCTCCATTAAGGTAAAACCGATTTAGGGGTTTTGTTGGCTGACTGAATTTGAGGAAGCTCAGGCAGGAGCAAGTGGAAGAAGTTGCAGAAGAGGCTGCAGAGTTAGCATTATCAACATGTCTGTTAGTAGGCAGGATGTAGATGCACCCAGTGTGTGGTGGACACAGCTTTGGCAAAGAGCAATAAAGAGCCAAGTCTGCATCAGTCTGGCTCCTAGCATAGTTTAGAGCAGGCTCAGGGTTGCTCTAAACCTTGGCTGTTCAACTGGCAGCCCATGAGGAGTTAAATTGTTCCCCCTCCCTGGCTCCTGCCCAACCTACAATAGCAGTCAGAGCCTCTGGTCTCCTGCTCCCACTTCCTGCCCTTGCCTCAGGGGGCAGGCAGTGAAGCAGCACAGGAAGCTGAAGGTAAGCCTGGGGTGTGTGGTGTAGAGTAAGGAGGTGGAGAGGGTCTGAGGTGTGCAGTGCAATGGTGGGAGTTATAGGCACACAGTGCAGTGGCAGAGGGAAGGCTGTGGGTATCCATTGCATGTGTGTTTGGGGCAGGGGGGAGGTGGGCACACAGTGAGGAATGGGGTTCATGGGCACACAGTGCAGCAGTGGGGCGGCAGGCATTCATGGTGTGCAGTATGTGTGGCACACAGTCTGGCTGCTTAGAAGATGAACAATCCTGCTCCAAATGACACCAACTGGTTATATGCCTAAGGGCCTGGCTCTTCAGCTTAGGATCACTGTAGCACCCTATTCTTCTAGCCACATCTCCCTCCTTTTTTACTGTAACCCTAATATCCTTATGTACTAAGGTGCAGGAGAGGAGGGAACAGAATAAGGAAGAACAGAATCCTGGGTAGATCTGCTGGCTTTACAGATTCTTTGTATTACCAGATCAGGAAAAGGGAACCACATGATAAAAACCAAACCATTAAGTCAGGTGGGGTAGGGGGCTATGGTGGTTTGAACTGAAAGGCTATGGCAGTTTGCATCACATTGTTATTAAACCTGCAGCCACTGGTATGGAAATTAAACACCAAAAGGACAACAAGTCAGATGCTTGACCCAAAATAACATTTTAGCAATTCAATCATGTCCTTTCTACTACAGACCTCAGACAGCATGACATAGTAACTGCTGCCTGTTATTGATCTGCTTGCTACTGTAGCTGACAACGGCCTATGGTTGAATGATTTGTTTTTAAATCTTATTCAGGTTATCATAAGGGGTGATCAATGATACAAAATTCTGAATCAAAGAATTAGTTTCGTATACAGTATCCCACTTTAAACATATGAATGTAGTTCCCTGCAGACACTTAAACAATCAAAGCTAGGGTGCAGAGGAATCCATTACGAAATAACAACAGTCAGTAGTAGGTAGAAAAAATGCTTAGTCACTTGACGTAAGCATTACGTAAAAAGAACACGGGTTCTTTTTACAGCTGTTGTTTTTGAGCATTAATGTAGGTGGGTTTGCATCTCAGAAAAGTCACCTAAATCAGCAGTTCTCGACCTTTTGCACCTTATGTCCCACCAACCATTTTATCAAAAAACCCTGGTCCCACCACAATAAAAACAAAACCCTACTTTTTTTCAGGAAATGTGTTTTTACATTTACATGCATTTTAGTATTAATCATGATTTTTTCAAGCGGGCAATGACTTGAAATCCCACCTACATGACCTTCATGTCCCACTGATTGAGAAACACTGACCTAAATCAGCTGAGGCCAACTTCTTTG